TCCTTACTATTTTAGAAATTAAAATATCTTATTATTATGAAAATGGTTTTGATCTTGAGTCTCCCCCCAGAAAAAAGGATATCAGGAACACCAATAGGGCCCCAGGTCCACTGTTTTAGAAACCACTGTTTTAGAAAATCAATGATTTCCAGGATATTAACGTTTTGATGCTTCATAAGGTTTTTCAGTGGCTCTGGATACCATTTAGTCAGTTACTCATCCACTGCTCTGAATGGTACCTTGGTGTTCCCAAAGATTCATTGCAGTTTTCTGAACTCTCCTGATCACTTACTCCAAAGTGGCAGACCTTGAGTGCCCTGGGAACCCTGGGAAAACCTCTCTCACTAATTACTGGTAATATTATTATTACCTGATTGAGATATTATTGGTATCCTAGAGATTTCTTCAGAAGCCAACACTTGTCTTTTTGGAGTTGAAGGGCACAAAGTATTCTCTGTCCTCTACAAATGTTCTGTGTGTGCCAGTCACTGTGGCATCTCTGAGTCTGTTTTGAATGTAAGTGATTTCAGGATGGAAGATTTCATCTTTCAGCTATAGTAGATACCCATGTTTTTTTTAAAAATTGAAGTGATGCTAGTTAATGACTCATGACTATAAGAATCAGAGACCTTATGTATAGTCTAGTGGAAAGAGCACTGGATTTGGCAAATGAAGACCTTTGTTTAAATCCTAGCTTTACCATTTATTTCCTGGATGACTTCTGGTAAATCACTTCATGCAATTAAGCAAACATTGATTAAGTACTTATATTGTTCAGATCATTATGCTAGGCACTGATGATATAAAGATAAAAAAACTGAAATAGTCCCTGCCCTCCAGGAGCTTATGTTCTAGGGAAATTTAGTCCTCTTTGATTTCAGCTTCCCTAATTGTAAAAATGAAAGAATTGAACTAATTGATTTCTAAGGTTGTGTCTGCCTCTAAATCCAATTAATTTGTTGCTACAGATGTCTTATTATCCACTTCGCAAATCTTGTCAGCCTATCAACATTTTCCAGTAGTTTCCTGCATTCAGTGTTCTTTCCCATACATGAGGAAGTCTCAATGGGAAAGTGGGCAAGTGCTTTATCCTCAGGTTAAGAACCCTGGTCTAGTCCAAGCTCCTAAGGAAACTAAGACCCAGGTGAAAGAGCTTCTATGGAAAGAATCATTTCCCTTTTGGCCAAGCTCCTCCATAGTGTCTAGTTCACAAAGGTGATTTTAATTCTTGGTTACCACTAACATCAGAAGCTGAGCAGGATAAGGATTTTCCTTCTTACTGAGTTCTTTGACAGTAGGGATGGTCTTTTGCCTTCCTTTTTGTCCCCAGAGCTGAACACTGTGCCTGGCATGTGGTAGGTGCTAATGGATATTTAATGACTTCTCTCAACTAATGAAAAGATTGAAAATACCTCCTGAATGTCACAAGATGTGCAGTGACTAGAGTGTGTAGAGATGACTGCCCTTTCACAGTGAGCATTAAAAGACAGAGAAATAGAGTTTTCTGGCTTTTTAGATTACTGACCAGTTCAACTGGAGACTTAGTAGTCTCTCCTGGACCACCTTCTTGTCAGTAACCTACCCATATTTTTTTCAGTCTTGTGTTTCAAGGTAAGGTACAATTAAAAGTGCAATTATGTAGTTAAATAAAGATCCTTAGCTAAGCAAATAACACAAGCGATTAAACATTTACGATACACCAATCCATTAAAAGACTAAAACCTGAATCAAATAGACTACCACTGGGCATTTTACACGTTCTCACATGGGAAAAATGTCATCCAATGACTATAAACATACCATTGGAATCTACTCCCCAAGCAAACGCTTTACTAACCAAATGTCTAGGTAAACAGGTAGTAAATACCTATTAGACACAACTGACAAGTGGTATGTTTTGCATTCTTTGGAATGTAAATACAACTGCCTCAAGGTGTTGGTCTTTTTTTTTTTAAGGTTAAAAGCAAGCTTATAAAGAAACTAAGAAATATACACCACATTTCAAAAGAAGAGTAATAATAACAATAATAGCTGACATGTATATAGTCTGAAAGGTTTGCAAAGCACTTTACATGACATTTCTTTTGATGAATAACAGAATAGATCCCATAGAATTTTTGGCATTGATGCTACTGGGTTAGTGTAATAAATCAATGAAAGTTTAATTGAGTTATACAGTAAAAACCCATTATCATGCAGTTCGTTATTCCTGCAGATATCTTGGGTCAAATCTTCTTCCCCAGTGTGGCATATAATAAAAGTATCTTATAAAGCTATATGACAATAGTATCATTTCTGTCACCGATGTCATTATTCTAATAGGTTCTTAATCTATAAAACACACATGAAAACAACATAAAATGTATTAACCATGCCAGAAACTTATTATTATGGCCAAAAGCAGTTGTTTCTTTCCTTGCAGGGAATAATTGATAACAGTTTACGACCTACCTTGAGTTCTCGGAAGAATATGCTACTTCTGGCCCACTCAACAATGGAGAAGAGAGTTTGGTCGGCCATTTTGCACATAAGTCCAAACGTATTGAGCTTTTCATGTTTGCTTCTGTTGGCTTGCTCTTGCTGCAAGTAGGCCATAATTTTGGCTTGGACTTGTGGCTCGTCTGGCTCACATTTCAAAAGTTCCAAGATAAGATGTGGAATACTTGTCGGCGAGCTTGTCTGGTAACAACTGTCCATGTATGAGTAACCCATTATTGACTCTGGAGAACTAGTATAAGGATCAGGATACTCAGACTTGATAGCTCGACTTGGAAAGTGGCCATAGGTTTGGTAACCTTGCAGGCTTCCGTGGGGTGGCATTGTCATGCTAATGGGAGAGGTTACAAAGGGACTTCTGTCATAGTCTGTAGGAGGCAAGGCAGTGTGGTTCAGAGGTAGGCCTTTTGAAACAGAGTGGATGTTCTGGATGGCAGAGGATATTGTCAGGTCAGTGGGCATTGCTTGGATCACCTGAGTCATGGCTTCCAGTTTAAGTCCATTGGCTCGGATAAGAGCTTTTTTCTGCTGCTTCAGGGCCCTGTCTCTCTTGTACATTGGTCCAAACTTATTTCTTCCCCCTCGCATTCGGTCGGCCCTTACAGCTATTGGTCAAAAAAAGAAAAAAGAAAAGAAAAGAAAAGAAAAGAAAGAAGGAAGTAGGAGTATAAATAAAGTGCAAACCAATGGCATTCTTCAGTTCAAAAAACACTGTTCGGAAATGTTGGAAATTGACCAAAACTGGTTTTTTTTTTGTGTGGTTGTTTTCATCACAATAGCCGCAGGATTCCAAAAAAGTCATGTCTTTTTTATTTATGAATTCTTTCCTGCAAATGTGTTTTGTCATCAGAAAAATATTTTGGACATGTTGGGCTATATTAACCCTTCAGTGGACTTGGGGAGTGGGGTGTGCTTCATACCTGTCACTAAATAAAAAGGACTTTCTGTATTACTCTGACTTTTTTTTATTAGGAATGAATGTTAGTGTTTCTGGGCTAGAGTGCCATGTTGACTTAGGATTCTGTTCATAGACCCAAACTGCATAAAAGTTTTTAAAAAATAACTTATTCAGTGACACATTCCTAACTTAAACTATGATTATTTTCACTAGGACATCTTTTCCTTATGGAATCATCATGATCATTTCATAAGAAAAGTGTTGGGGACTTGCTACTTTGGGGACATAATTTTCATCTCTCTGTGAAGAGAATCTGTCATATTATCATTTCCACAGGGAATGAGAGGCAATTTGGAACCTTCTGGTGTTATTAGCATTAGAAATGTGAAAACAAATTTAGTTCAGTAACTGTGTTAGAAGTACCATTTTTCTGGGTTTTGTTATAGGGACATTTTTCCACCATGGTCTACAAAGGGAGAGGCATAGCACTGTTGACCTTGTAAAGAACCTTAGAGATCCCTGAGTCATAGGATCACAGGGTCTTAGATGTGGAACTTGAAAGATACCTTAGGTATCATCTAGCCTTACCTCTCACTTTACAGATAAAGAAAGTAAAGGCCAGAGGGGTTAAGTTACTTGTCTAAGGTCACACAACTAAGTGACTTGTCTAAGATCATACAACTACTTAATAACACTATTAACAATCACAGGTTTTCTAACTCCCAAATCCAGTGTAATTTGCAACACAAGAAGACATTTCTCATGCTTTTTTTTGTGCCTAGTATATCAGTCAGTAGTTATCATCAAGCTCACACAAGCCAATGACAGTTAGATAGAAAACAGAACCCTCTGACAGCTTGTTGGCATAGGGTTAGAGCTAGAAGAGACATTAGAAATTATCTAGTACTACTATTTCTTCTCCCAGATAAGGACATATTAAGTGGATTGCCCAAAATCATAGAGGCTAGTCAGTGACAAAACTGGGATTTGAGCCTAGGTCCTTCTAACTAGATTGTTGAAATTTCTGGAGATTAATTTTTTGAGCTTTTTAGCCTAGGGATTACTGTAACTTTAAAACTGTAATATAAATTCTGGGTATTCATTATAAAGCATATAGTCACAAAGACCTTTGTACTTTATAAAATTTAAAAATCTGTGTTTCATAAATATCCCAAACTGCAAGTCAATAGGGTAATATATACACTAAAAGGCTTTTAAAATTGCAAAAGCCTACTCAGAAAAAAAGAAAGAAATCTAGCCTATTATCCTTTTGTCATTAAAAAATTAAACTTAATTGAATATTGCCACTATGATTGGGGTAACAAAATATATCATTTAAGAAAAACTAATGAAAGTGATATAACTTTGGACAGCAGAAACTATGAGTTTGGACATATGAATAAGAATGTATTAATACATTAATTTTGGATAATATCACTGAAAAATGAAACTTGACCTTAGTTATTGACTCTCACTTCTATGCTGAGGGCAAATTACACTTTCTAAGTGAAAATTTTCCCCATCTCATACAATATTTAATTATTTTTAAATTAATACCACTAAGTACAGCCTCATGTTTTTGTTTTGATGACCCTTCATAGAGGATTTCAGTATTTTGAATGTAATAAAATGGTACCCCCCAATTGAAAAGCTTTCTTGATTTCATCTTAGCAATGACACTGATAACTAAGTCAAATAATAATTTCTAACTTTTTAAAAGGAATAAAGTAGAAATTCAGTGAGAGTTATTGGGTTCTCTTTGAGCATTTGTATAAGACCTGAGTTTTTAAATAAAAGAAGAATAATAAACAAATAAACAAAAAATAAACAAAATAAATTGGTGAACAAATAAAACAAATGAGCATTTGATATCAAGTATTACATGCATCGATTGGTGGGTCACCAACCCACTGACCATCCTGAGTTTATATGCTATATATTTAAGCCCTGGACACCTTGTAGATCAGAGAGTGGAAAACAAACATGGGAATAATCTATGGGCTCCAAATTATTTGCAGCAATCCCGGAGCACACTAACTTTACATCCTCATACTTGGTATTAAAAAAAAAATCACAGTATCCATCTTTCAATGCCAAATTTAGAGAAAACAGTGGAGAATCATTCTCTTTCTTGCCAAACCAACACTACCCATTTAAAACAACATGATTTTTCTTATAGATTTCTTTTAGAATTCATGAAAGAATTAAAGAAAATCCTTCAGTGAACTTATACCAACTCTCATTTTTCTTATATAAACTCAGAAAATAGCTCAAGCAAAACACATGGGAAAGATATCACATGAGAAATTACTGTTCACAGTTAAAGACTCTTTAGTAATTACTTTGAGGCTCATGTCAATATATATATATATATATATATAACCAAATGACAGTTATAATCGCATGGACAAATACAGACCCAAACCAAGACTTAACTAAAATATATGAAAATCTGTGATGGATTTTTTTTTAATTCTGAATTTCTATTTGTCCTGTATTGATCTTTTGATTAGATCTCTTCTTATCTGGTCTGACCTTTTGTGCAGTGTTAAACATACCTGCCTTCTCCTTCCCCTAATAAATATATTTAAGTTGGTTGCTGTTTGTTTGTTTTTCCATTAGGATTTAACCACTTTTGATTGATACACAACTAGAACTTATGACTAGGTAACTGATGGCAGTCAAAACACAAAAAAACTGACATTATGATGGACCTTAGAGCCACAGGTTGAGAAAACATAGTGAACAAGATAGTTCTTTCTTAAAGTTAAAATCTTGCAGGATTTGAGGAGGCAGTATAATCCTCAGAAGAGTCTTACCTTCTAACTTCATTCCGACACTTAAGCATTTTTGAAATCGACAGTAAGGGCATCGTTTTCTCTGTGTTTTGTCAATTTGGCAGTTCTGATTTTCTATGCATGTGTACCTTTTGTTATTTTGGACTGTTCGCTTAAAAAACCCCTATAAAAGAGAGAAAACAGTAAAATATATAACTCAAGCACCAGGCTTCTCTGTTCGTGATTTCCTTAAAATAAAACATCAAATCTTTTTCAGTACCCCATTTGAGCCCCGATGTGGTTCTGTGGTTTATTTTACATTTAAGCAGGATAGACCCTCCAAAAAAGTGCCAGGCTATAACTCAGATTTTCTGGCAATAGGGCTGTATTATTGTAGATTTACGTCAAATCTTGGAGAGACTTGGCTGGAGACTATTCTTTTCCTAATGGTCTGAGAGAAAAACACCCTATATTGACCACTGTTTTCTGTGTATGTGTGTTTAAAATATGTCCTTTGGTCTGTTCTTAATATCTGTATTTCATATCTAGATACTCTTTTGGGATTGTGCTATTTTAAAATAATCTGATACAAATTAGGTAATAAATGGTCACAAAATGCAATGAAAATAGATTAGTGTGAAACTTCAGATCTTTCATAAACTCCAAAGTTAGCAATTGTGAGAGTTAAAGAATAATAAAGGGAAGTTATAACTCTAGTGAAATGTATTCAAACATGGGAACTCTTCTTTTTTTTTTTGTTAAGGAGAAAATTTTTTTTTAAAGCGAACATTTTCCATAAGAAAACAGAAGTTTGTATACTTGTAGTGTTTTGCCTATTTTGCTTTACTTTTTGGTTCAGAGGAATTATGAATAAATTACATTTCTAGTTTCTTAACAGATCTACAAGAATGTTGCTTTCTAGGTTCATCCTGTTAATCATATAAGGAAATTCCATCTTGCTGTGATGTAGGCAATGAGGAAGTTTACATGATGCAGATTTAAACAGTTATATAGATTTTTCCACATTAAAAATGCACTAATGAAAAAGAGCTATCATTTCATTTAGAAGGTTTAAAGGTCTGCATTTCATAAAATACCATTTCCTTAATTGAAATAAGTTATAGGTGATACATTATGAAACTGATCATATTGTTATAGTCTCATTTATTATGCTTTGTTTCTTTGCCATAAATTTCCAAACAAATATTTGTGTTTCCTTTAAGGGATAAATGAGAATGAAACCATGGAAATGTAAATAGATATTTTTTTGTTGATGGCTAAAAAATAATCTTAGCCCTGAATCCTGACCATGAGGTAAAATAAAATGTGTTTGAGAAATATATTCATGTTTTCTTTGAAGAAAAACAGTGCCCTAAATATTTACTAATCACTTGAAATCAATAGTTAAGGCTGTTGGAAATGGAGGTCTTTCTCCAGTCACATCACTTTGAACAATAAAATATTTCAAAGTATTGAAAATGGCAAAGGCAATTTGGGGCAGCATGGGTTTTCTTTGCTTTATGATATTTTTCTAAGAATCTCCCCAAGAAGTTACCTCCCTTAATTAAAAAAAAAATAGCCTAAAGAATCTAAAGTCATTTAATAGCACATTTTTTTTTGTTCTGAACTTTTAAAATTTTCTAGTTAGCAATGTGTACCAAACCTTGCAGCTTTCACAGGTGAGAAGTCCATAGTGGTACCCAGACACTTTATCTCCACACACTGGACAAAGTTCTTCAAGATCTTCATCGTAAGAGTAATTCACCATTTTAAATTGAGACACTGCAAGAGGTAAGAAATAGACATGTACATATGCACACAGAGACACGTCTCTCTATACATCCCATTAATTCATCAGTGCCAGGAGTCGGGTTTTTGTAGTCAGAAACATCTCAGGGATTGTTGGGTGACAGACCCTTCAGAGACCTTATACAACTGAAGAAACTTTTTACATAACTTCTGTTGGATTGAGTTAAAAGAAAAAAAAACATATTGAAAGTAAAACAACAAGCAGCTTGTGGAACTAGGGAATGTAGACTTTGTTTTAATTTATAAAGTTATCTTTAAAAGTGTTAAAATCATCATGGCACAAAATTTGAATTACTCTGTAGAGGACCACAAATTAGAGAAGAAAGAGTAATTTAAAATTAACCCTTTAAGTGTCTTTGGAAGCACTCTGACAAAGACCAACTCCAAAATATCACTTCTTGAAGGGTGGTGGTGGTATTTCCCCTTCTTCCTCCCAACACAACCCTTTCAGCAGAATGGCTTCCCTTAAGCGTCTGTTTTGATAATAACATGGGACTGCACCAATTAATCTACCAAACAATTTCACTCCTCTCCTGGCGGTTCTACTCACAGTGCTGCAGGTTTAAAATACTGTACTGCAACCTAAAACTCTGGAAATTTGATTCTGAGTAGCAGCCCTTCTTTAACAGAAGCCTGACACTCCCTGGGCTCAGATCTGCTAGATTAATCGAAACATTCAAGTTTCCTTATTGACAGGGCTCCTGTGCTGTATGTACACTTTCATCTCCCCACGATGGAAAAGCTCCTGTGAAAAGGAAAAAAAAAGTGGAGAGAAAAGGAGGGAGGAGAGGGAAGGGGACCCGAAGAAATAAAACAGAAAGAGGGGGAAGGTACACACTAGGGTTTGGTTTCGGGGCGAAGTATTGAAGCCCGGTAATGAATTTCACATGTTTCCGATAATCATGGCAAAATATAAACACCTTTAGATTTCCATGGTCAAGTTAAACACTAGTCAGCTCCCAAAGACGCGCCAGCCAGCCATCCCTGGATCAAGTAACCCACTTCCTACAGAGAAAGGACGGCAAATGCCTAGCTGTAGCTAAAAAGATGTATAAAATGTAAACAGGAAGGTCAGCAGTTAGAAGACACTGAAAAAAAAATATACCTGATCCAACCACCCTGTCTAATTATATTCATTCACAAGAGGCGGCTGCCGTCTTCCAAGGTGGGGAAATGCTGCCTTTAAGCGACTTGGAGAAATCTCGGAGCGGGAAAGCGAGCTGGGAAAAGTGGTTAAAGGCAATTGCCCTGCCCAGCTCTGCCGGTACCCACTCCTGGAGACCCTCCTCTTTCACTTCCGAAGTAAAGGCGAGCTCTTCTCTAGCTCATCCCTCTCCTCAGTCCCATGTTCCGCCCTTGCCCAGCTTGGCCCCTGCCGATCTGCTTCGAAAACAGCGCCCGAGCTAAGTTTGTTTTAAGTTAATCAATGGCATTTTGCAGCCAGGCGGGGGTGGGAAGGGACGGACGCCGGGGCAACAGCAGAAGTCTCGTTTGATTTGTTTACCCGCTAAAGGGGAAAAATGTTTTCTCCCTAACGCTTCCCTCCCTTCCAATGACCCCCAACGCACAGTACACTCCACTAACTACCTGTCCCATTTGCCGTCATCTCAGCAATGACAAGCCAAGTCCTCTTTGCCTGTGGATTTTGGGGGGCCCTCGGATCTGGGGCAGCTCGTAAAAGTCCCAAGTCTCCAGAGCAGAATGTGATCTCTTTAAAGTTGGAGTACGCAGCAGCAGCAGCAGCAGCAGCAGCAGCGAAAGAGGAGGATCGCTTCAAAAATGTCCTCGACGGACCCCCGGAGCTGCGGGGCACTTGGGGAAGAGCTCTAGCCCCAATATTGCTTCTGAATGAAATTTACACCTTGCCGAGAGGAGAAATGTCTCGCGGTGCTGGCGGCGAGGTTGTAAGGCTCAAGGAAAAGCAGATAGAGAAATAAAGGTTCTTCGGGTCTTATGGAGAGCCTATAGAGCGTCCGTGGGGGCTGTCTTTCAGGCTCCCCCACTTCTATCGTCCAGCCCTTGGGCTTGGAGAATGTGTGTCGCAAGGCTAGAGGTTGGAGACTTGTTTGTTTATGAGCAAATTGCTCCCTATGATTCTTGATTTTGTCTTCATGGGACTTTTGGAACAGAAAAAAAAAACCCAAAAAACAAAAAACAAACAAAAAACAAAAAAACGAAGTGGACTTCACGTTAAAGTGTCCCCTGCCCCCCGAATCCTCGCCCAACAGATCGGAGGAGGCTTAGAGAATGCCGAACTGCTTTCCAATCAGATGATCCTACTTTCGAGGACAGGGCATGAAGAAGATGGGGGGGGGGGGCGTACTTCTCAAGCTTCGGAAAAAAGCCAAAGCCGGAGTGGGGAGGGCTGTGGGCGCAGGAGGGAGGGGGAGAGGAGGACCCACTTTTCAGAACTTCCCAGTGACCTAGACGGACGGGGTCACCGTACCCTGATCAGACTAGTTTAACAACTTGGGCGAACAGAACCCATACAAAGTCACGCTTCCTCTCCAGTTCCAGAGTCCTCCTGCAGCTCTCGAGAAAAAGAGGGATGTTGCGTGACAAGTGAGGGACTAAGGCTGGAAACTTAGAAACTGAGTGGCAGGCAGAGAGGTTGGGTAGACCGGCGGCCGAGTTAACCGAACCCTCTTCCCTAGCGGATCTTTTCCAATGGAGGAAACAATCTTGTCCCTTTGGACTTGTCTTTTAGTCACTGAACAGGCACCTGCCTGCTACCTAGTTCGGTTGTGACTCGGAGCATCGAGGATAGCTGGGAACGAAAATTTCTCTTCCCAACATGATTTTCTCTCCCACCAAGGCTGGGGGTTTGACAGAATAAATAACACCAAGAGGAGGCCTCCCCCACCCCAGTGTGGGGTTTGAACCCACGACCGAGTCCTATGAGAAGTGGGAGGGGGTGGGAGACCAACTTTTTCTCAGCTCGTGCACAGGGTAGGGACCGTCCTACTTTTAGGAACAAGTATTGAAAAAGCTGTCCTGTCTCGAATAACTTTTTCAAAAAGTTATTTTCTGTCTTTTTCTTTCTCTTCTTTCTCTCTTTCTTTTTTTAAAATTGCAACTAGCACCTCGTCCTCTTTAAAAATACAAAAGGTCCAGGAAACCCATAATCCGGAGTATGAATGAGTAACTTTTCCTACTCAGACTTGGGAGTTTGAGACAGCCACAAAGATACAAGTCCACTCTTAACTCAAGTCCTTTCAAGGAAGAGAATTTAAACGGAGAGCTTTCTTCAAGTTTACCCTTTTGATCTACAGCCCCTCATCATTTATGGGACTTTTGCCACTTGTGGCCAACTGGGCCTCTGGGCAACCCATTCTGATGGTCAGGAGTTGGTCTTGGAGGAGATCTCAGTTCTAAAAGGAGTCAGTCACCTTGCCCTCTGCTGAGGCTCAGAAATGAACTGGGAAAACCCCCTCTAATAACTGCCATAAGGGGCTGAAGGGCTACTCTCTTTGGCCTTCCGCTCCTTCAGCCACCCCTCCCAAGCTAACTTCGTACTCGTGGTGGGCATTCAGCAGAAGCGTAATCCCTATGAGCCTAGAGGGGACGACGTCCTTCTATACGTTGGCCCTTAACTATATGCGCTTTCACTCCCGGTCCCTTTAAAGTAGGCAACAGGGGGATGGCAGGAAGTATTCCGAGATCACAGGCCAGGCAAACACCACATCCTGAGCAGTGGAGGCGGTGAAGATGGAAGAGCACCGGTGACTTTTCCTCGCATTGTTCCCTCCCACTCCAGCCAGTCTGCGCTCCCCCACCCCAGGGCAACTGCGATAAACTTCTAAGCTGCTTTAATGCAAGCCAGATCTGGAGTTGCTATTTAGGAGTGCGGTGAAAATATAGCCAGTGGAATTTATTTGTTTTCTTGTTAGCAATCAAGAGCCAGAGAAACAAATGGGATTTACATATTCCCAATACTCTGATTGAACTAAGTGCATCAGGCTAATCCGCCGGCCTTCCCACCCCCGCCCCTTCTCTTTGCGTTGGGTTGTGTCCGGGAGGGGGTGCCCTTTTGGTCCCTTTAGCCCTTCAGATGGCTTTGAAGTTGGTCAAACACCGTCCTAGATCCCAGAACTTTTAGCCTGATAGCCTCTAAGCCAAGCCCTTCGTTGGCGGTCCTCCCTTTTTTTCTGGTCAATTTCCTTAGGCAGAATCCTCTCTTTTCCTATCGCTTCCCTCACCTGAAGTCAGAAAACTCTGCAAGTCAAAGTAAAGTTCTAACCAATTTCTCCAGGCTAAGAACGTGCTCACTCTTCTGAGGAGAGCTTCACTTGCTTGGGTTACTACTAGTAACACTATTATTAATGTTACTGTTTAAAATTCTGACCAGCTCTAAGTCTCCCGGTGGAGGATCGCAACATCTTCAGTTAATTAGGAGCAGTAATCAGTCCTAGCTCGGGAAACCTCCACCCTGAATTGTTCAGAAGTCATAAACTTTTATGAAGGTACCTGGGGAGGCGGATGGCCCCGGATCCAGACCCGTTCGCAGCCTGCGCCCCAGTCGGTCAGCCACAATGCCTGGAGAGCTAGAAGGCAGCCAACCAGTGCGATCCTCACCGGGGATCCAGAGCCCAGGAACGAGGGAAGAAGGAAGAGAGGGAAGGCGCCGACCCGTGCCGCCTTACCTTGCATGTTTTCCGGCATTTGCCCCTGTTCCCCATGCGATCGGGCGAGTCCTAGGGCTTCCGTCTCCACTTTGGGTAGCATGACAAGACGGCTGCGGGCGGGGATGGGGGGTCCGTGTCTGTCCGGAAGCCCAGCACCTGGACACGGGCAGCACAGATTCAACCCCAGCGAACAGGAGAAACGGGGCGATCGGAGAGGGATCACCCACCCCTTCCTCTCCCCTTTCCTCCTCCTCCGGCCTCGGCTGCTCCCCGCCTCCGGCCTCTGGGACCCCTCCTGCCCTGTGCTGTCCGGCCCTGCCCTGCCCTTTTATGTGCGTTCTGTCCTACCCCTCTGCTCCCGCGCTGCCCTGGAGCAGAGGATAAGGGGAGCGCAGGTTAAGGGACTAGGCGGAGAGCACAGAGCCCGGACGCTGCTGACTGGCTTTGCCTAGAGCGGCAACAGCAATTACTACAGCTGCCGGGAGGATTGATCCATGCGGAGCTTCCAATCCGGGAGCTCTTTGCCGCGGCTGCTGCTGCTGCGGCGGCTGCTGGCTGCTGCTACCGCTTACTACTGCTGCTCCTGGACAGGGTCTTCCCTTGACTCCTTTCCCTCTTCTCCCTCCCTCCCACCTTCCCTCATGCTCAGGATCAGCAGGGGTCTCTCTCTCTCTCTCTCTCTCTCTCTCTCTCTCTCTCTCTCTCTC